TACAAAAAATAAATAAATTTATTAAATACACAGTAAAGGTCACTTACACTAAAACCATATAATAAAAATAGTCACCGCCATCTCATGGCTGCGAGATGTCAGCAACTGCATTTATACAAACTATCGTACAAATTTATTTCTAACAATAAACACCACAAGACTTGTTTATTTTTTTAATATTCCATTGTTTAAGTTTGATCGGACAAATATCTCAATTCCTAAAGTGCTACAAGTGAAACAAACAGTTGGCACAAAGAAACTAACCATTTCTGGGCGAAACTTGGCTGCTTTTCGCTCAGAAAGTGTATCACAAAAGTAGGCCCGATTTTTGTTTAGTACCGAACTCAAACCCGATCATTATTGTCGATAAATTTAACTTTGTCAGTTTAGGATTTTGTACGTTTTTACGTATGGAGTTCACTACGCGGGGTGGTGCACCCCCGAACAAAGAAAGCGACATTCAGCTAAGTCTAGAACTAGAACACCCGCTTTAATACTCTCTAGACTAGGATTGCGAGAGTGTAACAATGGCTGTTGTTACATTTTCGCCGCAAAACACCTAAAACAACGAAACGTTTTAAATCAACCCTTTTAATCCGCGACTTCGGGTGAAATATGGCTGGTATTTAACCCGAAAAAGGTGAAATCAATAACTAAACTAGCCACTCGATGGTGTATGATTTGACAATACTCGTTGGTCACACTTCGGTGCCCCCACAGTACGTGAGGGTGCTGTTGTCGGAGGAGTGCTCGGGCTTCCAGATCATTTTCCACCTCTAGACCAAAAATAACTCATTTTAACAAAATTTTAAATTTATTATGTTGAGTAATTCCATTGTTTCCGATTTTTGTAACGCAAAAAAGTATGTGAAACGTATTTTACAGTTTTTTATTTTTTCAATGTACAGATGTCCGAAAAGTCGCGCACCGCCTTGAAAGGGAGTAATTGGGTAGTCCGCCAGAGTACTGAAAAAATGTTTAAATATTCTATCTGTCAAAAATTTTGACATTTATTTTTTGACATTTGATATTTTGTATGTTTGTTTAATGATACTTGATCTTGTATATGTTTGTTTAATTATGTAGAAAAGATACAAAAATTTTGCCAATAAAAACCACAAATAACACTAAACAGAGATACAATTTACTTTGTTTCCTCTTCTAATAGCTTGTTGCAAAAAAACTTGGAAAAGTATTTTAACAGAAATAATAAAATAAAGTCAAAGTGCAAAATTTAACACTCATGATACAGTGTCAGGGAGGTGCGCGACTTTCCGGACCACCTGTATATTGAAAAAACAGGGATGTACAAAATGAAGTATAGTTGGAGACAAAATACTTTGGTCGTCACTTTTCTAACACTTTAATGTAATTCAAGCTTTCACGTTAAAATTAATGACAATTTCAATTAATGACAGCTATTACATTTTCCTATCAAAAATATCTACATACAACTTGTCAACTATGATTGACAGTAGTTAAAAATAAGATTAACAGTCCTAAAGCATGCTTTACAATTTAATGTCACTCAAGTGACATTGACGACCAAGGTATTTTGTCTGCAACTGTACCTGGAAGCAAAAAAAAAATTATCTTAAGAACAAATCAACATATTGAAATGATTGTTTTTACAATAAATATAAATAGGTACTCTACGAACGTGGTAATGGATGTATTCCAAAAGTTTGTTATTAACAAATAATTTAAAAATATATCGTTTAAACAAAAAAAAATACAATTACGCAGGTTTTTAAAATTCTCAAAAAATTCATGTATAAGACTTCAAATTTTTACTATGTTTCAAGACGGACGTTTTAAAAATAGCTAAAAAAAATTTTTTTAGTGCATGATCCTCTAAGGTCGCTTGAAAGTAGCGTTTCCATAGAAATTAAATATAAAAACATCAATTACCGTCATTAATAAACTATTCTAAATAAAACACATAATTTCCAATGATTTATTAACATTTATTTTTCAAAAATCAATGTTTTAAACCTTTGAAAAATTATA